GTCAAGACCACGCATCTGTAGAGCACTATACAAGCAGTTGTGGTAAACACTGTTTTAAAATGGATACAGTATGTTCACCAAAACAGACCATATGCTAGACCACAAGACAAATCTCAGTAACTAGCAAGTAACTGAAATCACATAGAGAATATGTTCTAGGCACAATGCTATTAAATCAGAAATCAATAGCATATCTAGAAAAACACTCACTTTTAAAAAATGAGGAATATTCTTCTGAAATACATTGGAATTTTAAAAAATCATAAGAGAAATTACAAAATACCTTTATGTGAAAAATGATTATGAACTTAATGTATTAAAATTTAAGATGCAGATAAGACAATGCAACTTCAAATACTTATGGGGAAACAAACAAATAGACAATACAATATTAAATAGGGAAAACTGAAAGCTTTTCCTTTAAAATGAGGAAAAAACATGATGCCTACAATCACCATTTCTAGCAACATAGTACCGGAAACATTAGCCAGAGCAATATGGCAAGAAAAAGAAATAAAAGGGACACATAGGGAAGGAACAACTAAAAGTATCACTATTTAACTATAGAAGACTCAAATAATTCCACCAAAAGACTCAGAATTAATAATCAAATTCATGATACAAAATAACACACATAAACCAGTAACATTCGTGTATACCAATAACAAACTCAATGAAAGAAATTAGGAAAACAATAACATTCACAGTACCAAGAAAAATTTAAAGTCTAGGAATTAACCTAACCAAGGAAATGGAAGACTGAGCACTACAATATTCTGGAAAGGAAACGAAATGAAAAGGACTTCAGAAAGTAGAAAGACAGCCCTTGTTTTTTGACAAACAGAAGCAATATTGTCAAAAAGTCATACTTTGAAACTAATATATAGACTTAACACAATCGCAATCAAATATTAACGATTTTTAAATAAAATTATAGAAAACAATTCTAAAATTCAAATGGAATCAGAAGTTGCCCAGAATAGCAAAACCATCCTGGGTAAAATAAATAAATAAATAAATAAATAAATAAATAAAGCAAGAGGCACCACAATGCTTGACTTCAAATTACACTACAAAGCAATGGTGATGAAAAACAGGATGGTACAAAGACAGACATGTAGATCACACATACAATAGAGGATACAGAAACATCCTCATACATATTCAGTTATTTTATAGTTGATCTTTGACAAAAGACCTAAAAATATACATTGGAGGAAAAATAATCTATTCAAGAAATGGTGCTTGAAAAATTGGTGTTATGGTTTGTGTCTGGTCAATGCACCCAAAGCCTCATGCAGTCAAAGCCTGAGGCTTTTTGGAGGCAGCTAAATCTAGAGTTTGTTAATGGCTCATTGTCTAGTGCGGAGATTGGGGGTATGAGCACTGCACCCACCCTCAGGCTGGTAACCTGTAAGTGAGGAAAAGAGGCATGCTTCCTTCCTTTGCTGATGCTTTTGGTATTTTATGTCCCTCTGGCATGTGCCACCCTGATGAGAGCCAGCAGATTGGGAACTGACACCTCTATAAACTATGAGCTAAATAAACCCTTCCCTTCCTTAATCTTGGATATTGGTTATTTTGTCTCAGCATGAGAAAAGTAACTTAGACAATTGATTTAGACAATTGCAGAAGATTAAAGTTGGACCCACATCTTTCACCATGCATTAAAACTAAACTAAAAATAGATCAAAGATCTAAATATTAAAACAGAAATAGTGAATCTATTGAAAGATTTAAAAAAGTAATACACACTTGAAATTGCAGGCAATGACTTTCTGAACAGAATTTCAATCGCACAAGGAATAATAGCAGGAATAAAAAATGGGGTTATATCAAATTTTAAAGTTTGTGCATAACAAAGAAACAATTAGCATAGTGAAGAGACAGCTTACAGAATGTGACAAAAATTCTGCTAGCTATTCCTGAGACAGAGGACTAACAGCTAGACTACATAAAGAACTTAAAAATCAGACCACCCAAAATAAAAGACCCAATTAAGAAATGGACAAATGGTCCTGTGAGTCTGCACTATGAGCAGGCTAATGGGGAGAACAAGAGGTCAGCCTTCTCCTGTGAGTCAGCACCATTTGCAGACTTTAGGGGAGGAGAACAAGAAGTCAAGAAGCTAAGACTTCCTGGAAATTGATGCTATGCATGGAATAGTTGGGTTACAGCCAGACTCCAGCCCCTTCTGGCACATAAGCGGGGAGAAAAGAACAGCCAACATTCCCCACATCAAACTCCTCTACCCCATAAGCTACTGGCTGATTCAGAGAAAAACAGGCTGTGATGATAACTAATTATGTAAAATATAACTTAATGCTTTTGGTATTTAGTGTTTCACTGACTTTCCAGGCTAAAAGTTGGTAGTCTGATCATCCATTCAGAGAATAACAATATGCACTGTAGCATCTACGGGGATCTCCCTCTGAGGGTGGTGGCCATCGTTAATTCCCTATTTTCAAAATTCTGTATCATTTTCATTGTTTTGTTTGGTTAAGTTTTTTCCTATTTTATCTTGTTTGATTTTGCTGTATATGATGGCATGGGCAGCTATTTCAAAGACTGCAAGATATAGTGTGCTAGCCATTTTGGATTTACTATTATCTTGTTTTGAAGTACCATATTACAGTGTTTTATTTTTATTGGTTCTATTCTGTTTCTGTTTTGTTTGATTTTACTATGTCGAAGGTATAGGCAGCTCTTTTGAAGACAACAAGAGGCATAGTGGAAGCCATTGTTAATTTCCTACTATCTTGTTTTGAAATCCTGTGTTACTTACACTGTCTTATTTTAATTGGCTTTACTCTGTTTTATTTTGGTTGGTGTTATTCTCTCTAAAATAAAATTTTTAAAAAAGAAAGAAAAAGAAATGGGCAAGTGAAACAAATAATATTTCTCAAAAGAAGCACAAATGACCAACAAACATGAAAATATGCCCAACATCTCTGCCTGTTAGAGAAATACAAATGGAAACAGTGCTAATATTCCTTCATACATCTGAAAGAATATAAATGATCAATAAGTTGAAGAATGACAAATGCTGTCATGGTCATGGCGAAAAAGGAGCTCTGTTATATTGCTGGTATAAACCAGGACAGCTACTATGGGTAATCATCATGAAAATCTTTCAAAGAACTCAAATTATAAATTTCATCTGACCCAATATTCCCCTTCTAGATATCTTCCCAAAAGACATCATACTATAGGCATATATGCACACTAATGTTTATAGCAGCACATTTCATCACAACTAAGTCCCAGAAGGAGCTTACATGCCTATCAACAGATGAGTGGATAAAGAAAATGTATCTATACATAATGGAATACTACTCAGCTATAAAAACATATATTCAAGTCATTCATAGAAAATGGATACACCTGAGAATACAATGTAAACTAAAATAAATCAACACACAAGCTTAAATACCATATAATATCTCTCATTATACCATATTCTCTCAATTGAGAGATACTGTATCTCTCAAATACCATATAATATCTCATCTCACAAACAAAGAGCTGATGGAAGGAAACAGGGAGACAGATCTTTTACAAAGGAAAAGGGTTCTGGAGACTGCGGGTGATGAGAAAGTGCCAGGGAAGAAATAAAAAGATTTCCCAAGTGTCACCTACATATAACAAATAGTCACAGAGAATATGAATATTATGCCATAAACAAATTAAAAATAATAATGACAGTAAGGATGAAAATGAAGATTAAAGACAGAAAGAGGAAGGCATGTGGGAGTGAAAGGAAATTTTAAAAGACTCAAGTTGTGTTATGTACACATACTTATTCCCTAAGATGAATGTAAACTTTACATACTGTAAATATATACTAATAAAATAACAAAAACTTATGCAAGTGCTTACAGTTGAAGGGATAAAGGGAAAAATTAATTATCTAAGCTTGTAGCATACAGACTTGAGAAGGAGTAAGTTAAGCCCTCAATAGATAAACAGAAACAAATAACAAAAATATAAGAAGCCAATAAAATAGAAAAATGGACAAACAACAGAGGAAGTTAATAGTTATTTTTTTTGTACTTTAGGCACAAAATGTCATTTCAGATTGATTATCTGTTTTAATATGTATCCAGAATCATAGGGACCATAGAAGAAAAATCAGAAGACTGTGAAAATGCAATGAGAATCTCATGGATATAAGAATCGGAAAGCAGAGGACTCCAGGATAGATTAGGAACTGAACTTTTTTAAGTGGGAGACGGACAGTATATTGAGAAGCTCGTGACTGTGGTATTTGGGCAACTCTGAGGCATAGATTTCAGAAGTATCCATAATATTTTCAGCTCAGGAATTTGCTGAAAGTAGTTTTTCAGTCAAAATGTGTAGTAAGAATGAATATCCAAGTTTGGAGCTACTGTGGTACTAATTACAAAACCCCACTCATGTGACACTGGCCATTTACCTAGGTATTTATCACTGCATTGCTTCCTTTTAATGGTGGTCTTCATCTAGAAATCCAGAGTTCTTTGGGGGAAATCAAAATTGAAGCCATAGACATATCAAGTGGGAGAGAAAGTTATACCACATAAAACTTAACTGATTAGAGCTGCCACAATCACAAATTCTTGACTTCTGCAAGAGGGCAGCAACTTCTCAACTGACAATCTGAGAAAGAAGACAGTGGGCTAAAGTGAATCTTCTCTCCAGATATATTCACTGCACAAGACTATTTGCATTGTACTTAGATATTCCTCCCCTTGTAAGACTTAGAATTGCAGGCAGCTTATACGAAGTACAGTAATGAGTGTCTTGGTGGGACTAAAGCCAAGAGTCTTTATCGCAACTGGCCTTGAAGCTGACGTTTTCAGCCTTGCCAGGGAAGGAAAAGATGTAAATTAGTTATTATTCTTTGGGGAGGAGGGATCCTGGAGAAAAAATGAGCAATGAGAATGAAACAGAAGTACAAGTGATGGGATGAGTCAGAGGACACAGGACATAAAGCTCCAGTGCTGCCTTGGAAACTTGAGGGAACCAGCATCCAGGTGCCTTCATCTGCCTTTTATCAGCTCTAGGTTAAAACTTGTCATTTTTTTCCAGTGACTCCCGGTGATGGTAGAGACATGGAATTTGCAAAAACTGGAAGACAGTGAGCAGATGAGGTGTCTGTGCATCTGTTCTTAAACAACTTCTCTCTTTAGCTCTCTCCAGGGTGCCCAGTCACCACACCTGCTCGCTAGTGTGTTCTGCTTCCTGAACTGATGATGACAGGATGGAGCTGCCTGGTAACAGGAGCAGGAGGCTTCCTGGGCAAGAGGATCGTCCACTTGTTGGTGAAGGAGAAGGAACTGCAAGAAGTCAGGGCTCTGGACAAGGCCTTCAAACCAGAAACCAAGGAAGAATTCTCTAGTAAGTGAGCTGTGGGACTGAGTGTGGGCCTCCACTGTGAAAGCCTGAGTGAGTAGAGAGGGATGCTCCTGAAATGAAAAAGAACTTGGAGCCCTAAGGCTCTGTGTGTCCACACTCACCAGGAGTAATCACGGGTGGTAGAACATAATCGACACCCATCAGCTGCCTGGAGACTGGACTCTGGCCTGCTCAGTACTAGACAAGGTGGACACAGGCTGGTAAACTTCTCCCCTTCTCTTATAGGAATCACACATTAGTTCTTTCCTCTCTTGTAGCTAATTAATGTGCTCAGTTCAGTGATTACTATGCAAAACAGGCAAAGTACTACTAAGCTGGAGGTTGCAGTAGTGGAACTTTGCCTCATTTGATTTCCCTGGGCCCTTTTCTTGTCTTTAGTTTTGCTTTTTAAGGGACTCACTTAGGATCTTTTGTGAGGGAAAAGAAAAAAATCTAAAGTAAAGCTGACCAAGTGTATGTGGGGTGTGTGTATGCATGTGTGTGTGACTGCATGTGTGTTGTGCAAGACAGAGTGAGAGAGACAGAGAGAGGGAACAGGAGAGAGAGAAAAGAAAGAAGGAAGAAATGATGGGAAAGAGAGGAAGGGAGGGAGGAATCCAGGGATAAAGAAAGAAAAGGATTATAGAAAATGGAAGGAAGGAAGGAGAGAATGAAAGAAGGGAAGGAAGAGAGGGAAAAAGATAAAAAGACAGTGAGCCAAAGAGAAATACAAGGAGAGACAGACACAGAATAAGAGTAAACAGACAAGTGGCCTGTGCAGAGCCAGAGTCAAAGTGAGAAGCATAAGGGACTGGGACGTTCTTCCTACGTTTGTTCCTCTTATGCTGTTCCCACTATTTCCCTCTGCTCTTTATCCCCACAAAGAAAGCCACTGCTAATATGCTGGTACTGTCCATTATTGCTTTTAAGAATTGCTGGTCCTGTGGCAGCAATGCAAATAATACAGCTGCTGGATGAACATTGCATTTTACCAGCTGTTTATTCCTGTTTTTCAAAGTAATTCTGTGATAAAGCAGGAAGGGGCTCATCCATGGGCACATCACATACTTTGAAGACAGAAAAGAAAAGTGTCTGGCCTGAAGTCACTTGTTTAATAGGAGCAGAACACAGGTCAGAACTCTATCCCAGGGGTCTCATCACCGGGCTGGGGGCTTACTCTTAACACCATCAGACATCAATCCCCCTCCTGGTTCTCCTGGGTGCTCCAAATCTATTATCTGCCACTCACCATCTGTCCACGGGATCCCTGGATTTCCAGACCTTCCTGCTCTTCTCCCAGCTTCTCTACTTTTCTCTGACTTGTTCCACAGTCCATCGTCCTCCATTTACTGCTTCAATGTTGTTTCCGTGAAGAAATACTAACACACAATGAGAAATGTTTGTAATTTTTCCTCAGAAAAATATTTAGAACTTAACTATTTATGGCAGGAAAGGGACATTCTCAGACTCAAGGAATAAATCCTCATAGTGACAATCCAAGGAGTGCAAGGAATGTGCAGAAGCCCGCTGAGAAGTAATAGTAGAGGATCTTCAACACTCTTTTCTCCCCCTGCCAGGTGCTCTGTGGCTTGTTTGTAGGGTCACTGCTTTATTCCTCAAGACACTCATATGAGATAGGAAATATGTATATCTTCTTTTTACAGGTGAGAAGACAGGTTTAGAGAGGTTAGCTAATACATTAAAAGAGCCACAGATAAAGCCCAGAGCTTGAGTTCCAAAAGTGCTACTAACAGCTTCTATGTTCTTCACAATTATTTGGTAAGCAACTTCTATGTAGGCTTCTCCTAAATGCATTCATACAACATAAGCAACTGATTATTCTGTCTACAAGTTAACTCAGCTGTCGAAGTTGACTCAACGTGGACAAAGACATAGCTGTGACCATCACAAACACCCATAGTGGCCTAACAAGCTGTAAGAGTCCTTGAGCATTGATGAGATAATACCCACGGTCTCTCTGGGTTTGAACTCTTCCTGCCGCTCACAGCCATCATTCTGAACCAGACATTTGAAATCAGCAGCAAAGGAGATACAAAGGAAGGGAGTAGGGGACAGAAGAGGGACATGATCAGGGAAGTCTCCTTTCAAGCTGGAACTCACCTGCTTCTGTAGCTCTTCCCACTTGGCCTTCATGTAGGGCCTTCTTGGGGTCACCTGGCAGAAGGAGGCAGGAGAGGAGTTGAGACCTCACTGCCACTTTGTACTCAGTTGGGTCCCTAGAGCCTGCTGAGCTTCAGTTTCCTCAGCTAAGCAGGTGAGAAAGCAGAATCAGAATTCCTCTCCAACAAGGTCTTTAGGAAAAAAAATGAGTCAACTGTTCATTTGCTTGTAAACTGTGCAGCACAAACAAATGTCGAGTGTTGATGGATACTATGTGTGGCACAGGATGGGTTTTTCTGGATTAAATTAGGATGGTCTTGTCACTGTCAGTATCATTGCATCACACAGGTGAGTCTCACTTGTCATATGGACACCTTCATGTTGCAGCCACTGTCCTGGACTAGACAGCTTGTATGGAAATCACTTGTAGATGACTCATTTGTATCATGCATGCTGGATATTGATATTATTTGACACACAATAAGATTAATTAAGTCCATCAAAAGAGCTCAACTGGAATTCTCTTGGTAGGACTCCACTCACCTCCTCCTAGTCACACAAGTGGGAAACACTAGGGATGAGCTTAACTGATTTTTCTGCTTAGCCAAGGCCCAGTAAGTACCCAGACATGCCAGGGGAAGGCCTGAAATTCACCACTTGTGGGTCTCCCCTCTTCTGCTCCTATTACTGGGTCCTGGTTTGCCCTCTTGTGAATTCTGACAGAGACATTCTAATTAGTATATTGTAGCCCTGTTTTCTCTTATATCCTCACAACAGTATATTGGACATCCTGGCGCCAAGGTGAGTGTCCTATTCACAGGCCTGCCTCTGTTCCTCCTGCAGTTTCAGATCCCTAAATGATTCCTCATTGTCTACACAGTTAAATTATAAATTGGCCTCTGTATCAAACTATCTACAGCTTTCCTGCTCTTCTTGATGAGCTTGATGAAACTTCTCACACACTAACAGTTCTTTGGTTCATGATACTCATTGGAGCTTACTGCTCAGATTCATGTTCCGCAATAGAGTCAGATGCAAACATTTGTTTGTTCTTTGCCAGTAAATGCTACGTACTGTGTTTTCTGAGCCTTCATTACCTTGTTCACTCTGTGGAATGTTCTCATTCCTGGATATCTCCTTGCTATGAATATTTTTAAAAGTCTATGTACTGTCGACTTATCAGTAAAATTCCCAGGCCATCCAGAAAGCTTTCTAATGACCTGTTCTGTGTTTCCACAGAGCTGAACACAAAGACAAAGGTTACAATAATTGAAGGAGACATTCTGGATGCTCAGAGCCTGAGGAGAGCCTGCCAGGGCATCTCAGTCGTCATTCACACCGCTGCTGTTATTGACATATCTGGTGTGCTTCCTGCACAGACCATCATGGAAGTCAACCTGAAAGGTAGAGCAGCCTGTGAGCAACACGCACCTGGTGGGAAAAGAAAATGGTAGGAGAGATGAGAAGGGAGAGTGAAGCCCTGAAGAGTCTTTGCTTACCACTCTCAGCTAACAAAACTCAGAGCTATTATTTTTTGGTATTTTAGATAATAAATCAGGGATCAGAAAAATCAAGAAAGTTCTCCAAGTTCCCACATGTAGTCAGGAGGAAAGTAAGAATTTTAAAATTACTCACATTTGATTAAAAACCATGAATATTCTTCCTCCAGTTACTTCATTACAGTGTCAGCTGTCCTCTGAATCTAGGCTCTTGATGCCCACCTACGCCATATTTCTCCTGTGCGAAACCAGATTCTGCAATACCTCCCCAGACATACATTTTTTAGAACTAGCATGAAGCCTGATATCCAGAACCTCCTGCCCACCAGAAGGAAGGCTTTCTCTCTGAAGAACTAGCACAGATGGTTCACAAGAGTCTTTTAGAATAGAATGATGGAACATGGGCTTTCCCATTGAATTTTCTAAGCAACAATTATTTCCTACTATCTATAATATTATCTCTTAAGCACTCTACCATTTATAGACCAGGAGTAGTTTCTGGTCAGATGCCTTAAAAAAAGAAGCCCTCTTTACATCCTCATTTCTAAATGCTTGGTGGCTTCTTCTGAATTGTAGCTTTCCCGCTGACTTTAACCAGAAACCCATTAGCTCAAGGAATCTTGCCTTGGACCACTGTCACTCAGAACCCAGAAGGCCAGTTTTTCCAGCATCACCATGACCCTGACCCTATTCATCTGTCAGGAATGCCTTTTACACAGATTCAGGGACACAGTGGCTCCCTTGCAAGGCAAACTAATTATTTTTTCATTTTACAAAACCACTTTTTAAAAATCCCTCTCTACTCACACTCCAGAAGGCTGCTATAAATAGGCAGATTTTCATTTCAGGTCCCTGTCTCATGAGACTTGCCCTCTGCATCTCTTAACAACAGAGGATGAGAAATGAAAGAGGCAGAATTGCAGGTATTCATTTAGTAAAATGTTTTCACAGGTTAGCACATTCTTTACAAAGATAGTTCTCCTCTTTGGTTAAACTAAACTCATATAGTTATGTCCTACAAGTTTCTTTTTTTTTTAAAAGAAATTCTAGTTGTCAAGAAAATCAAATGCATAAATATTTTAAATTGGGTGGTGGAGGAAGGAAGGAAAGGAGGGAGGGAAGGTCATCTCTGCACCCCTCCTTCAAGGGAAGTAGCCCAGTCAAAGGTGTTGCAGAAAGTGGTCCACAATTTCTGGCCACTGTGAACATTCGCAGAAGAGGGAACACTCTTGCTCTCAGTTCTCCACTAGATTGAACAGAAAAACCATGAAGCTAGATCTCAGAATGCCAAGGAAAGAAATCTTCATCATCACTGCTGCTCATAGTCTGGGTGAACAAAGTGATGGAAGACGCAGTGTTCACAGGGAACACAATCTGGATCAGAGGCCGGGTCTCTACATGTCTCACTAATCCGTAGCTATTAGCTCAGACACAAAGATTGTTCTTGTGAAAACATTTTTATTAATCTTCAAACAAAAAGGGAAATATAGGCAAGTATGAGGTTTTCAACTTATAATTTAATATTACTGGTAAGTAATGAGCATATGAAATGTGAATTTCAAATTGTCTATGTGTCTTTCTGAATTTTAGGATTTAAAATGAGCCCTAAATAAATAATGAAATTATGTGAATGAAAAAATGGTAATGAGGCTTTTTTATTATTTTTGTAATTCATATTTTTCTTTTTATTTATACTGGGGATATAACCCTAGGGTTAGAGCATGCTATGTCTAACACTAAGCTATATCTCAAAACACATGGTAATTATATATCTGTACTAGTGAAATATATACTAGCCTACCTATCCCTTTTCAAAAAACAACACACACACACACACACACACACACACACACACACACACAGATAGAACACAAAAACTCACATATTATTTCTTATCACAACACAAATGTTAGTCCATTTCTATTTTTATTTTGCTCTGACTGCAACCTGGTAGATCTGTATTAATCACCTCATGGGGAGGAACTGGATATGAACATGATTCTTATCCATGGGGGAACCTTTGGCTTATTTTCTGATGCTGACTCTGTGTTCCCACGTGCAGGTACCCAGCTCCTGTTGGAGGCCTGTGTGCAAGCCAGCGTGCGAATCTTCATCTACACAAGCACAATCGAAGTAGCTGGGCCCAACTCCTACAAGGAGATCGTCCAGAACACCAATGAGTACAACCATCATGAAAGCATATGGTCTGCTCCATACCCATGCAGCAAAAGGCTGGCTGAGAAGGCTGTGCTGAAAGCTAATGGCTGCCCACTGAGAAATGGTGGCACCCTGTATACTTGTGCTTTGAGGCCCACGTACATCTATGGAGAAGGAAGCCCATTCTTATCTTCTGAGATGAATAAAGCCCTCAAAAACAATGGCATACTGAAAAGCACAGGCAAATTCTCTGTAGCCAATCCAGTCTATGTTGGTAATGTGGCCTGGGCTCACATTATGGCCTCCAGAGCCCTCAGGGACTCTAACAAGGCCCCAGATATTCAAGGACAATTCTATTATGTCTCAGATGACACACCTCACCAAAGTTATGATAACCTCAATTACAATCTGAGCAAAGAATGGGGCCTCTGCCTTGATTCTGGCCCAAGCATCCCTCTGTCTCTAATGTACTGGCTTGCTTTCCTGCTGGAAATGGTGAGCTTTCTGTTGAGACCAATTTATAATTTTCAACCGCCCTTCACCCGCCACTTACTGACCCTGTCAAATAGTGTGTTCACAGTCTCCTATAAGAAAGCTCAACAGCACCTAGGGTATGAGCCACTCTTCAGCTGGGAGGAAGCCAAGCAGAAAACAGGGGAGTGGGTTGGTTCACTAGTGCAGCAGCACAAGGGGACTTTGAAGACAAAGACTCAGTGATGTGACTATGATAGCGATGTGATTTAGGGTGATGCCTGGAAGTTTAATTTACTTCCTCCATATGTCTTTGTTCAGAAAGTGACAAAGGAACAAGCCCAAGTCCTACAGGCTCCTCTGACACAATCGCAACTTACCATCTTCCTAAGGCCACAAGATGCTCATTTCCCCTTGCTAGATATAAAATGTTTCTGTTCTTGGAAACTTTATACTGCTTCACAAAACACAATGAAAAGCAGAATAAAACTTTGATTGCCTAACCTGGAATCTGTATGATTTATATTAATTCCACCTTCCCTTTCCATTTCCCATTATGGTCATGTGCTGTTTAGAAAGCTGCATAGAACTGTTGTGGGAAGAGTGATGGCAGGGACAGAAGAGAACCTGAGAATCCTGCTGAGCTGCTAGTGTCCAGACACATATTAGATGACTTACATTACCTCCTGAAATGTTTCTCCCTGAGAGACACCCCCATGAATTTAGGTGTATAGAACATATACCTCCATGTCCTGTTCAAGCAGCCCTGGAACCAGCACAGCCCTTGAAAGCACCCTGAGACTGGGATGAGCAGGGACAGCATCCCTCAACCACTGACTTGGGAATTACATGTGAAGCGGTAATGCTTCTAGCCTTCAACTGCAATGTCAGAGTCCTTGATTGTTCTAGAATACACCTGAATACATGAGTGCTGACCTTTGCAGTCATGTGTAGCCTTGTATTTCATTATTGTAATTCATATAATCAAAGCATAGCATGGGTTCTTAGGAAATAATAGGAAAAGGTTTCAGTTTCCTACTATAAATGCATCTCCTAATTATCCTAAAGTATGCAAATCCCCTCTAGAGCCTCACTTAAAGATTTAACTGTCTCTCCCTCCCTCTTCCTCCCTTCTGCCTTATATTCTCTCTTTACTTTTATTCTTGTACCTCTTGGACTTCTTTCTTTTTCTATGTTTCTTTCTCTAAATTTTGTGTATTTCTTTGAGTAGAGGAAAACAAACAAGAGTTTTGTTGATTTAAGTGATGACATAGCCATTAACCAATCAGTGAACCAAGAGACACAGGATCTGTTGATTTCCCAAGGACAGAGGCAAATGGGGCCCCTTGTTTATTGGATGGATGTGGGAAGCTGCCTGCTTTGCACTAGGCTGTTGCTTTTACTGTGTTATTGTATCACAAATATCACAAAAGTCTCAGCAGGGTCAAGATTCTTCTTTATTCCCATGTTCAACAAAATTTAAAGAGGCTGTTGATTGAAATGAAACTCTTGTATTAGATTCCACCAGAATGGCTACTCTTAGACTAAAATTCTGCACTGTCAATGCTTCAGTGTTTACTGAAACTAAGATATCTATTTGATTTCCCATAAACAAGGAAAATGAGTTATAATGGACACATTTTCAAGGAAGTCAAGTATAGCTAATTTGCTAAGGAAGTTCCTGTTGCAAATTTTACAGGAAAATAACTTTGAAATGATGATTGTACTTTCTTTTGTCTGGTTCTGCTTTCCTCAGCCCCCTCATGTCTCCTGCACAGTTCTGCTGGACAGTATTATATAATACAAAAGGAGGTGCTGGCTGATCCTAAAATCACATGCAAAAGCCATTAAAGATGCATAAGCTTAATTTTTAAGAGAAAAAATAAAAATAGTTAAATAGCCAAAATAGGCTAATAGGAGAGTAGCAATAATCAATACATTGCATATTGTAATCTTAGTGGTAGTTACTCAGAGGCAAGATGTGAAAATCTTGTCCAATTTTAGCATAAAACTTTCTCTTCAATGATGTAAGAGAAACTAGCTGTATTAATTTCTTAATTATCTTGTATATACATATTTTCTTTTTCCTTTCTTTTTTTCCTATTTCCCCCATCATAGTCTGTCTTTTAAGTGCTTTCTTCCCAGTTCACAATATCTATTGCACATTTTTTATCTTATTTACTCCTTCAGTTTCTCACACTAATGACACAACATGATATTTATTCACACTAGTCTGATTTATTTCATTTATAAGTAAGGTCTCAAGTCGCAGCCACTTGCCTATAAAAGACTCCATTTCACTTTATCCTTCTTGGTGGCTGAATAGTACTCCATTATATTTTTTAAAAACCCACATCTTGGAGTAGGGGGTATAGCTCAGAGGCACAGAACATGCCTGACAAGCATGCAGTGATGAATTTGATTCCAAGTACCAAAAATACCTTTTTATTCACTCCGCAGTTGATGTACATTTGGATCATTTCCTAAGCTATTACAAATTGTGCTACTATAAACATGGATGCACGTATGTCACTGTGGTATGATTTTTAATTCTTCTGGGAAGACGTACAGAAGGAGGATACTTGGGTCAAATGAGACCTCTAATCATAGTTTTTAAAGGGATCTCCACACTGATTTCCACAGTTGTTGCACCAATAAGTGAAAGGATTTTGCCCTAAATGAGACGCTGTAGGGGTGGGAGGCTCTGGGAGGCGAAAGGTCATCTTCCCCGCCCCTAGACAATGTACCTGTGGAGCAAAATGAGTTCCAATCAGCTGCTGGTGCATCAGTAATGTCCCTTTAGGCACCACCCCAGACCAAAGCTGTATGTATGCCCCCCACACCTCATGTCCAACAGAGAAAGCCAGGCCGTGGCTGTCTTGAAGTTTCTCTCTGCATCTTTAAAATAAAGACCACTTTACTTTATATTCTGTCTTATAACTGCTCTGAAAACTTTTTTCAGTTTGCACTATAATTTCAGGCCATGGATTGTGACGTGCCCTGATTTGTCTTTGTTGCCCAGAATTGCTTTTGCTATTATAGATCTCTTCTGGTTCCAAATGAAGTTTAGGAATATTTTTTCTAGATCTTTGAGTTATGTTAATGGCATTTTGATTGGGATTGCTTCACATCTGTATGGCAGTAAGGCAATTTCCACTATGTTGTTTCTTCCTACCCATGACCAAGAAATATCTTTCCGTTTTCAGATATCCTCTTCAATCTCCTTTTTAAGGGTACTGTAATTTTAACTCTACAGGTCTTTTATATCCTTTGTTAGATTGATTCCTAAGTATTTCACTTGTTTAAATGCTACTATTAAGAGTGTGCTTTCTCTTAAGTTCTCTCTCCGTTAGTCTGTTGCTTGTGTACAGGAATGCTATTGATTTTTGAGAGTAGACTTTGTATCTTGCTACTGAAATTTGAATATTAAATCTGCAAAATAATTTGTGGAATTTTTCAGATCTTCTATGTAGAATATCTTCCAGTGTTTGGCTTGTAATTTTTTTCTATCTCTTTGTGCTCTGGACTTGTCCTCAGTGGGCTGGACATTTGGGGTTGCATTTTGCTACTTCATCTTGTCATTTTCTGTTTTATTTTGTTTTCTGTGTTAATGCTTTTAGATCAATTATGTTGAATATTCTTATCAACAGTGTTAAAGCTTTCCTCAGAAATGTCTGTTCCTCAGGATGTAGGTGGTTCTCAGTCACTATGTCTATCCCAAGAACTTTCTTTCTCAATGTATTAAGAATGAGAAGTTGCTACCTATTTTACTTTGGGCTTATTCCTTTGGTTCTGGACTATGTTGATGGTTATGACTCCTTAAAATAACAGCGTTACACTGGGGATTTAGCTCAGCAGTGTAAGCACCTATCTACTGCGAGGTCACAAGGCAGATCCCTGATGCAAAACATAAGTAAATAAATAAAAAATAAAATAGAAGTGTTGTTATTAAGGGGAGAGGGAAAATGGTTATAACATATATGACATTTTGGTTAATGTAGTTCAGTTAGCAATAACAGAGACTCAAGTACAGCCTGTCAAGTAGCCTTTGGCTACTGACAAACTGATAACTATAAGCCTGATACCTATAACCAAAATGGAAGTTCTACTTCCATATATTATATATTATAATCCAACTTATATCAGCAAATATTATGTGATGATTTCCCCTTTAATAGAGTGATTTTACCCAGTTTTGTGTGGGTGGAGGGAGGTTCAAGAGGATAGTGGGTAGGATGGTGAGATTTATGACGTTAAATATAGTAGGAGCAAGGACAGAGGGCATAGGATGATCATCCAGGTTTTGGGTAACTGTAGGACACAAGAGAGAAGAACTGGAAGAGAAGACTTAGGAGTTTTGAAGTGAACCAGAGTGAGAAGGGACAATGTTTACTCACATGAAAGTACCATGAAGTCCAGCAAGATAGTTGATGAATGAAAGGAAGAGGATGATTAAAATAAAAGAAAGAGAAAGGTGAGAAATCTAAATCATGAATGAGAGAAAAAAGAAGAAAAAAAAGAAAAACAGTAAATAAACACACACCACACACACACACACACACACACAGAAAGAAAAACAAAACAGTACAAAACAGAACAGAGAGAAAAAGAGAAAAGAAAGGGGAAAACCCAAACAATCAACAAAAGAGAAAGAAGCAAAATGAAAAACAAAACAAATACTAACCCAGTCAAATACCAAGAGGGAAACGAATCATGCAGGAAAAAATTGAAAGGAGTGAAATTGCTACAGTGTATGCAGCTCTGTGGTAGGTGCAAGTCAAGTCCCAGAAATGTTCCCTCTAGCCATGATTGCCTCTGGATCTGGGGGATGGGATTAGCTTTCTGTAGGTGGAGTTTTCCCCCAGGCTCTTTGAAAAGAAAAACAAAACAAAACAAAACAACAACAACAACAAAAAAAAAAAACAAAGGCACCCCTACCAGCCTGCTTTTATTCTTTGTCTCTTTGTCCCCAAGCACAACATTGGTTCTCCTAATTTATCACCTGTTGACTCATATTGTTACTGTTGCATGAGACATATCTATGCCTCTAGCCCCACCTGTCTGTTATGTGTGCCTTATGGAGGGTCCTCCTGTGTCATTGGTGTTCCCTCAGGTCTATGGACCCTGAGTCCCTCCAGTAGTGGGAAGGAGGGGTGGATCCCAGAGGCTTCTGGCAGTCGCCACCCTCCTGCATCAATGGAGGAAGGAAGTAGCAGAACTTAGATGCTTCTCTGTAGCCACCCCTTCCCAAGTCTTTCTGTGAAAACTTCATTTGTTACAGTTTGATATTAGGACACCTGTAAATTTACAAGCTATTATGTAAGTTGGGTTGAACTAACTCCAAGGCCATATCTGAGCGTGCACTCTGAAGAACAAAGGGAAAGAAGATGTAGGCACAACTACAACACCCAAGGGACAGGTGTCAGCACTCAGCATCAAGGTGAAGCAATAAGACATGTGACTGACCCCTGAACCTCAGGTACCCACAGCAAAAAAGCCAGGATCTGTTC